TTTCCAGGTCAGGTGGAGTTTTGGTCATCTGCACATCCTTCTGAGATGGTCACTTTGCAGGCCATCTCCTAACCCATCACATAAGACTGGCCTGTGTGTTTCAGTCCCTGAAGGAAACCAGCTAGTTTTGCAACTCTTGGCCATGTATCTCTACATCAGCAGTCTAATCATGAAGAAACTTTTTTTCCTCAGTCCTACGGTACTGAAGAATTCTTAAAAACATTGTTGGGGAAATTAGTTCAAAACTCAGAAAGTTTTTAGCCATTAGCTTATTTTTTCCTCTAGAAAGATCTAATATTCATACCAATAGAGAATACTTACTAACCACTCTGTGTCTGGCACTATAGGGGTGGCATATGTGTGCTAAGTTTTCTGTTTTATCAATAAAACCCACAACTCCATTACGGACTTCTCTTAAGATCATCATTGCCCAATTAATGAAACTGAGATTTGGGATCTTACATTAAATAACTGACTCAGATAACTGAATCTATTTTATGTTCGTTACCGATAGAACATACCTTTCTTTGTAATTAAGTAAACGAACCCTAATTTTCTGAAGTGACACGCTTGCTGATCAAGTTAGAGGATTATAGCCTTCAGTATGGATTACAACTCAATAGAAGGCAGACCATACTCCTCACAACTGGACCAATAGGTAACATCATGGTAAATGAAGAAAAGATTGACATTGTCAAGGATTTTGTTTTGCTTGGATCCGTAATCAGTGCTCAGGGAAGCAGCAGGTGCGCCTGACCCAAGCCCCGGTATTCTCCATTGCATCGTGTGCATGTGAAAATTGGACATTGAACAAGGAAGACCATAGAATGCATTTGAATGGCGGTGCTGCAGAAGAACATTGAAGGGGCCATGGGCTGCTTAAAGGACAAACCGACCTGTGATGGAAGAAGTCGGCCAGAGTGCTTGTTCAAGGCGAGGATGAGAAGCCTTCATCTGACAGATGTTGGGCATGTCAGGAGCTGTCAGTCCCTGGAGAAGGACAGCATGTTTGGTAAACTAGAAGGGCAGAGAAAAAGAGGAAACCTTCGGCGAGATGGAGGGACACACTGACTCCAGCAATGGGCTCAGGCATAGGCAGTGGGAGGATGGCCCAGGACCCTGCCGTGGTCTGTTCTGTTGTGCACAGTCGCTATGGTTAGGAGCAGACTCCATGGAGCCTAACAACAACAACAACAACAATTGTCTGGAATAAAATCTCTACGTCTCCTGCCCGATCCCTCCTTAGCTTCGCTGGATGCTCTATCACTGAGCTGATGAACTTTCATGCTGTCCATTTGCCGCGAGAAACACACCTGCACACATCTGTAGCTTCTGTTATTTTCCCACTGGGGTTTCAAGTCTTTCTTCAGAAGGGAAGCCAATTAAGGGGCTTTCAGTCTTGCTCAGACAGAGTAGCCATTTGGAGTGGCAGCTCCATTTTTAACCTCTGATGCCACAGCTTCACCCACGCTTTATCCTCCGCTCTTCGAATGGTAGGCCTGCTGCCAGTGATTATGTGAATCCGTGTTGTCAAGTGGATCTTAGGAAATTTAGCTGGTTTGATGCTAGTTAATCTAATGATTTGTGACCATCTGCTTCTATTTTTTGTGCGTCTTATAAAGTTGCTAAAAGCCGACTTCTACAGAAACTATGCAGGACCATGCAGTTTATCATATTTTATACAGTTCACATATTTGTATTTGTTTTAAAACAAATCCAAATGCCTAGCTGTTATACAATCTGAAGTGCTGTAGCATATCAACCCTATCTGTTACATATAAACCATTTTAGAAGACAAACTGCATTGTCTCATTGGGATTGCCCCACCTTTCTTTTATGAATAAAGGAAATATTTTTCCTTTGCTTACCTAGTTCTCTTTTTCAGTTGAATCTCTCTCTCTCTCTCTCTCTCCATTGCTGGGATTTCCTTACCACCTCATTTCTACCTAATCCATCCTGTCTATCTTCCAGCTTCTCTCCTCCCAGCAGCCTGCTCTCAACACATACATAAAAGCATGCTCACTGGTCCCTAAACTTACTCTGAAGTTTGTATAAAGAAGCAACATTAATGGCATATTTTCACAGCTTAGTAAACTCGCACTCTATGAGGTATGTACCCAAATAATTGTTTGACTTACTGTGCCTTTCTTCTAAAAATCAATTCTATGCAACAGGTATTTCTATAGTACTTCAGATTGTATAAAAGCTAGGTGTTTGTTTGGCTTTAAAACACATTAAAAACACGTGGACGGCATGGTCCAGCAGAGCATGGGGAACACTTGTTGGCGGCCATCAATTCTGACTCATACTTACTCCATGTGGTCAAGTAGCACGGCGTGTAGGATTTTTTTTTTCTGATCATCATCCTTCTAGGAAACCAATTACCAGGTCCTTCTCCTGAAGGAGGAGCCTCGTGGTAGATCTCAGGTTAGGTCTTGGGCTGCCAACTGCGAGGTGGGCTGTTTGAACCAACCACCGGGTGCTCCAAAGACAACAGAGGAGGCTTTCTACTCAGGTACAGAGTGCCAGTCCCACACAGTCACAGGGGCAGGATCCTGTCCTTACAGGATCGCTGTGAGTCGTCAGGGAGGCACGTGATGCCAGGGAGTTTGAAGTTGGCTTTTTCTCCTGTCCGGCTGCTTGCAGGGTTGGCATCACTAAGGATTCAGTTAGCAGAAGAATGCTGAACAGTTGTGTCAACAGGGCTTCTTTAAGCCCAGTCTATATTAAATACATCTGGTTTTCTAAAAGGTTTTTCAATAAATGACATTTAAAAGTTGAATAATAATAATAAAATTGTCCCTCCTCAAAGGTTCATCACAAAACCTTGTGACTATGACATGTCATGACAACACAGAAGCTTATTCCGTAATACTGAGAAAAAAAAGGAAGGTGGTAAAGTAGAAATCAACCTTAAGATTATGTCAAGGAAGTAAGTTTTAGGCTTTTGCAATAAAGTCAGTTAAAGAAATTATAATATATACATTTTTAGTTAAATGCAAAATATGAGATTTGTAATTACCAAAGAGTAGGTTTCAGTGTGATTCAGAGGATTTATTAGGTTTTACCAGGTGGATTTTGCTTTGGGTAAAGAAATTTTTTGTGATTTATTTTTTCCTTTAAAATGAAACCCCATTAAAGCTGCCCTAAAATTTTTAAAATCTACTCTAGACTAAACAGCTGTATTCCAAAAGCCTGTGTGTATTCAGTATGTGTGTTATCTATCAGCATGTGGACACTTGATCCTTCATTGGGAAATAAAACTATCGAAACACATGATAAAGATGAAAGATAACAATGGTTAAGCAAGATTTTAGTCTCTGATTTGAATTTTTTTTGATCACTCTAGAATGCCTTGGTTCTTCTACAAATACTTACGAGTCGGTCCCATTATTTACGTAATAATGAAGATCTGGTATTATCGATGAAAGTAATGCTTGGGGTGCATTAGCTGCATACTTTCTCTGCCTTCTAAGCATGTTATACTTAGTATTTATCATGCACACCTATGTGACATTCCTGATACATACATTCGCATGCTTGAAGGATAGGCAACATTCTTTGTTATCCTAGGATAATATCATGATAACTTTTCTAACTTTCATTTCAGGCTTTTCATATACCTTGTTTGAACAACTTTTAGATATCTGAGCAATATCTGGGTGAAATCATCGGATTTGATAGTCCATCATATTGCACGAATTCTGGCCACGGGTGTGCTCTTTTTTACAGTTATTAATGAAAATTGGTTCACTTTCTAAAAGAATGACATTAAGCCTAATCCACTAAAGAGGATCTGTTCATTGTATTTATTTTTGATGGCTGATAATTTAGAGGATGCTTCATGCAGCGTGAACTCATCAGTCCCTTTGCTTCTGGACGGCCGTTCTCAACTTTCCAGCAAGGCACCCCGACTTCACCATTTTCAATTTGGAGGAGGAAAGCATGTGTAGCAGCTGTAGCTTTTAATCTGACATTTAGTTTTAGGTCATTTTCATGTAAATAGGAAACAATGGACACCTGCTACCAGTTTCCTTAACAGGGATGTTTGCTTCAGCTTTATCAGTTTTCCTCTGGCAATTGCATTTTCTCTGTCTGGGTTTAAAGGAACCAGTAATTGTTCACGGTTATTATTTTTCATCTTTATGAAAACGTATTGCTTCTACTTTGTATTGCCTGAAAGCTCCCCATGCCTGGTATATTTCAGTCCAATACACTATCCATTAATGTTTCTAGCTCATCTTTTTCTTAATCTGCTGCAGGTTGGGTGGGTCAGGCTTTCGATTTCTCTCTGTAATAAATTTTTCCCCAGGCTTTGCAACTTCTTTTTCTACCTCTTAAAAGGAAATAAAAAGGTGAAAATTTGGAATTGTTCCATTGAATACAAGTGATGCCTTATTGAAAGGCAAGTTTAGGCCTTGATTTATAGTGCTCTGAGCATTCCCTTATGTGTTTACCAACTGTGGCTTCGGCACCACCGTACAATGTGATTCTGTGCTTTTTCTAATAAATATGCGTTTTATTTCATTTCTCCACTGCTCTGAAAAACAGCCAGCTTTACACTTACGCATAGTTATGCTTCCTTGCACATATTTTATGGTCTGTACAGTAACTTTCAAGTGTGTCTCAATGGGGAGAAATTTCAGTTTTCTGTATATCCTTTTAAATATGTTGATTTATGCAGATTAAGTTAAGAAGGAAGTTATTTTTGTAGAGTCATTTCCATTTGCTCCTCTTGTAGAGGGAGGGAAAAAAGGGGCAATCAGTTAGTCCTTTCAAACATTTATTTCCTGGATCTTCCAGGAAAACGTTAACAACAAATCATGTACAACTCTGATTTCATTTCTGCTGTTGAATTGATCGTAGCTGCTGTGATCTGTAGGTGTTTCTTCCCCATCTTCCTATCCTTTTATTAGCTTCCTGATTTTAATGTGCCTCATCGGTGACTTGGCAGAAGCTCATCTGTGCTCTTGTTTTTCTGTTGTGTTTTGTCTGCCCAGGGATATGACAAGAACAGTGGAGATTTCTGGGGAAGGAGGCCCCTTGGGGATACATGTAGTGCCCTTCTTTTCATCTCTAAGTGGAAGGTAAGACCTTTTCCTTATTGCAGATGCTCAAGCTAATGAAAAGCCTGGCTGGAGCTCATTTTCTCAAGCACCTTCCAAAAGAGGATTAAGCATGTGTAGCTTTTACTCCGATGGACACCTCAGGATAAACTTTCATTGACCACTCATATATTAGAAGCAAAATAAAATCTTTTACTTATTGGAAACAAAATAAAATCATTTACTTTGTGGATGCAATCAAAGAGGGGCGAAAATTCAAGAGTTTCTCAATTACAAGTAAATCGGAAGTACTTTCTTAAAGCACCCTTGTCAGGGACACGATAATAAACAGAGTCCCTAGCCAAAGCTTTATTTAACATACTGCTGGACTAGTCACAACTGAGCTTTCTTAGTGTTTAAAACACACTTTAGCTTGTGGTTAGAGTAAAGGCAGGGCAGTATTTCCTGTTAGACGGGATCTGACATTGGCACAGTAGCTCTGACCTCTAGAAAACCAGAGTAAGAGTGAGACTGTATATTCTGAGGCACAGGTAAATAGAAACTTAGAATAATAAGTTTCCTTCTTTCTAAATATGAGAACTATTTCAAAAGCCATAGATGTTTGGTGGTCTTAGCTATTGTTAGAACACATAGTCTTATTGTTTATCTTTTCTAAAGTAGTATTAAAACACATTAACAAGAATTTACCACACTCTTTTGAAATTTTAAAAGCATATCAATGTATTTTGGGCAAGTGACCAGTTAGTTCACTTTCGCCCGCCTTTCTTGAAATTCATGTCTTCCAAACTGAATGTAGAACATGTGTTCCCAAAAAGTTAGTGTGTGCCTGTGATCTCTTGTCATTCATTATAACAACCTTTGAGAATAGGTATGAGAGACTATACCATTACAGGCTATCGGAAATTGAAAAGAAAATGAGTTTATCACCCACATAACATGACTTTACTTAATTGGCTAAATTTATTCTGAAATGCAGCATTGAAAAGGCAGAACACTCTAGCTTAGGTTAAGTTATCATTGGCCAGAAATGTCGAGTGATTTGCCGAAGGTCGAACACAGTGCCAGAGCCCTTGACATACCCTTCGTCCACTGCTTTTTCAGAACGAACATTTTCCCAAAGGTTATAAAAGTATTCATTTACTGGTTGTCACTATTTACTCAGTTCAGCCTGCCATACAGCCAGGCGGCCAGATTTAGCCATGGCATCTTGGTTGGCATCAAGGGCAGCAGGGAGCCACCTGCCGCCTGTGATTGCAAAGGCATCACCTTTTTTGCAACTACCATGTGATGAGAAATGAACCGCAGAGTTAGTGGCTCTCGTCTCGTTTCCTGAATGTGTTAACATGGGTGTTTATAAACGTTATGGGTTATGGCCCAGGACAGACGGAGGTTGTTTTTGACAGACAAGGTTAATATGTGCCCAGTTGTCTTGAGAAATTCCAAAAGGTTTGGGCAGAATCATACTGATGGCTCTTTGTGGAATAGCAGAGTGGCTGGATGACTAGGTCCTTTAGCTTCAGGAAGCTGGAACAGAACACAGGATCACCCCACTTTCGAAAACCCCAGGAACACACCGTGTGACAGTCACCCTGGTTCACTTTCAGCGGTATGGAAACAAGTCTACCCTCTGGGTCAGAAACCACCTTCTCTCAGTTCGAATGAGGGGAATAAACTTGAGTGAATTTATTTCACGGACAAGAAACGTTTCCAAGTCCATCGACTTGGCAATTGCTATTGTTTTCCTCCTCATCCTCCTCCTCCTCCTTCTCCTCCTCCTCCTCCTCCACTTCCTCCACTCTCTCCTCTTTTTCCTCTACTTTTGTTGCTATTCATTAGTATCATAGGAAGGCAATTTTATTAAAAACCACTAAAAACAATATGGAAGCCGAGATATGAGCTAATAAAAGTTACAAGGTAATGAGTGCAGGCTGAAATAGCACCCTTAATGTCACCCAGGTGTCTCGATGCAGCAGTGTCCACAGGCATGTCAGGCAAGTGTCTGGCCTCACACGGCCATATGAGTTCATGTGTGTTTGGGGTTAGTTAGGGTCACGGTGGACCACTCGGTTCTTCATTTCCTCTCGTTGATCAGTGTGTGTCACTACTTGAACTCAGAATTTACATGTGATTCTTCACTGAGATGACTGCCATTGGCTTTGCCTCTAATTTGTTTATTTCTTTTAGAAGAGCACTGGTCCACCTGTTGTTGAATAAGGAACCTTATCTAAGTTCCACGCTCCCGAGTAGGACATGTGGCTGCTAGACTAGAGAAGGGCTCGGTGAATTCAGGGGATGACATGTGCAGTGTGCCTAAAGCTGCTGGTATTGGGGGTCAGCGGCTTGCACAGTACAAAGAAAGGAAGGCAAAGATCTGCAAACTTGTGAAGAAAAGGAACTGAACTGACCCTTTATCCTGGCAACGTGTGTCATCCGCATCTCGTGCAGTCTGTAGCCACGAAGGATGAAATGTCCGGTTTGCAATGACATAAACCCCCCCAAGCAGAATCCACTGCCCTGGAATTGATTCTGACTCAGAGCAAGCCTCCAGGACAGGGTTGAGATTCCCTCTGGGTTTCAGAGTCTTCACAGGAGTAGAAAGCCTCCACTACGTAAAGATGCCACATATACCAACTACCTAGTGAAGACAGTCCAACCTAAAAGAGGGAGGGCTGAGGGAAAGTGGAGGTGTTTAGGCAGAGATTCTGAGCGGTCAAGGGCATGGAGTGCAGAGGGGACACGGAGAAGGTAGGCGGGAGTCTAAATGTGGATTACAAGAGCAAAGTGCTCTCCTTACCCATCTTATTCTGCATGGCTGGGGATTTCAGCATCTTTATGTTCATCCATTAATGCATATCAACTGGTTAGTCCCAGCCTGTAGCTCCTGGACAGCATTAATCTTTACTCCCTTCTCACCTGGGTCCCAAATGAAACAGCTACCACTGCCCACCAGTTTTGGGTAGAGAGGATAACAAGAGGCTCTTTTCTGAGCTGCTCCTCCTCGCCTGGATGGCACCAAACTGGTGGGGCCCTCCCCCTGCTGTGAATTAGAGAGGGCAGCAGTGGTTTCTTGTGAGGAACCAGACTAATAAAATCACTCCGTGTTACATTTTACCAAAATTACCTCTGACACATGGGTTTTACAGTTGGGCTTCTTCTGTCAATAATTTTTTCATGGAAAGTTGGCCTATTTAGATCAGTAAGGTTCACATAGCTTGCTCCAGCTGTAATGTGCCAGCCAAATTGCAACCCAGTGGCCTGAAAGAATTAATTCATCTCCCAAAATGTGAAATTAAATCCTAGGGAGTAACATTACATGACTGATGATGTACTGAATTAAATTAAAGGAAGACTTGAATGCTTGTTAAAAAAATATCACTTACATAAACTAGTTGGTAACCACATGTGAGCCTCCTAATGGATCATGCTATTGTGAATCCACCTTAATGAGAATCCCCCCCCACCAAAATTATTAGAGCATTATTTAATTTAGGAGAAAGTATAATATTCTTTCCTATTTAGGGGAGTTTTTGAGTTTGGGTTCTTTTTTAGGGGTGTGGTTTTTGGCTTTTTTTCTATGTCAAATGGTTGTATTTTTTATATTATGAGATATTACACTAGTATCTTTAAAATATTAACTTGAATTCAGATACTTTCTCAAATAGTAGCTGTGTCTCTTCCATTTCACATAGGGCAGGCTTGGTTAATCTATTAATCTGCTATAACTAGGAAATGAAGGCGAGCACACTGTACCTCTGAGCTACGCCTACAGTAGGTAGCATGGCTATTTGCCATTGTCTATGGAAAGAACATACTGCATCCAATGAGTGTTTTTGAAGTAGAAGCACTCTGTCTATTATAGCCTCTCTTTCCCATGGACATCTTGAGATTGCATGAGCTCAGGACCTGGGACCCTGGAAGGACATGTTCCACTCTTCCAAATCAGAGGAGATATTTTCCCCTACTCAAGCATTATAAACCCCAAACAAAAATCAAACTCACTGCCATTGAGTCAGTTCTAACTCATGGTGACCACATAGGGTAGGGTCAAACTGCCCCTGTGGGTTCCTGAGATGCTAACTCTTTGTGGGAGTGAAAAGCCTCATCTTTCTCCCAAGGAGCAACTGGTGGTTTCAAACTACTAACCTTGTGGTCAGCAGCCCAACTCATAAGCACTGTGTCACCAGGGCTAATTCATTAGCATTACACATTGGCCTTTTCCCTGCTTAACCCTCTTATGCATGTATACAATGTGCTCATATTTCATTTAGATTCGAAATGTAGTGCAAAAGGACTATGTAAGAGAACACAGTGCTCCTATCCCAAAGAGCATGGCAAAGTAGAAAAACAAGAGGGCAACAAAAGTGGAAATTGTTCTTTCTGAGCCCAGAGATTCTTCTTGGAGTACATACCATTTTTCTTTCTTGGTCTAAGAGATAGTAAAGATTGTGTTATGCTATAAAAACAATAATAACCTTCAAAATGATAAGTACCTAAAATATACACATCCCATGTCTTTGAGTAATTTGATGTTACTGTTATGTAACAGAGCTGCAGATGTGTATACGAACATACATTATACATATATATGTACACACATAAGTCAAAATCAACTTGATGGCAACAGGTTTGGTTATGCCTGTGTGTAAATTTAATTCTTATTCTTATTGCCATAGGTTTTGGGTTGCTTTGTTTTTTTCTTCATGCTCACTCTACTCCAAGTCCCAGGATCTACTGGTTCCCGTGTTGAAATGTCCCCAAATCTTGCCTTCCTCGCTGTCATTGTCCTTTGCAGAGACAGTGGGTCGTGAGTGGTCTTGTTCAGCTTCAGTAGAAGGAGTTCATCTGCTGGTGTTCAAGACCTCTCTCTGTGGCACTGGTCCCTCTCGCCACACTCCTCCTTACACAAACCCAATTCATACAAACACATGTCTAGTCATCCTCTGGGAGTATCCTCGCTATAAAAACCTAAACCACCTCCACTGTCATCAAGTTGATTCTGGCACATAGTGACCCTGTAGGACAAAGTTGAGCTGCCCATGAGATTTCCAAAGTCACAACTTCCAGGGAAGCAGACAGCCTCATCTTTCTGCTGCAGAGCTGCTGGTGGGTGACAACTACTGAACTTTTGTTAACAGGCAAGTGCTTAAACCATGTTGCCACCAGGACCCCTTACTTCTCTCGACCTGTACTACTGCCATTGATTCCAACCCCTATAAAGGTTTTCCAAGTCTGGAAATCTTTACAGGAGGAGTAGATAGCTCCATCTTTTCTCTGTGGGGCTGTTCATGTGTGTGAACCTCTGATCTAGCTATCAGCAGGCCAGAGCTGACCCAACACCACCAGCCTGGCTCTCAACTCATCCCCAACTTCCAGACCCACTGTGCTCTTCAGCTCTGGAACTTCTACTGGACTCCCAAGTCTGTTCTGACCACATTTCCTGACTCTGATCCTTCACCTTGTCTCACACTCTCCCGTCTGAGCTCAGAGAAAATACCTAGCACAAGCCTGCTCTAGCAGCACTAACTGAAAAGGGGTTGAAGTAATAAGATCATCACCGACATAGCTGTCTACTTCTTCATATGCAAGTTACCAGAGCAGAGAGTCAGTCAAACTGTTTAAAAAAATCAAGTGACTACTTAATTCCCTCCCATTATAAAACATCAAGGTACCATCTGCACTAACTTATTGCTGTTAGTTGTGATGCTCTCTTCCAACCAGGAGCCCTTTGTCTCTTCAAATCCACTGAGCGGTTTTACCCTTTTCTAAATTGCTGGAAGCATGAGAAATGAGGTCACAGGCTAATATGTTCTGTGTTGGTATGTATGTTTGTCTTGAAGGGCTTTTTCTCTCTTAGTGAAGTTATTTTGTTTTTGTTTGTTTTTTTACTATGAACTTAAATAGGTGTCTGAATATAAAGCATAATCTCTTTTGTAAATGCAAATCAATACTTATTTCTGAATAGTTGTAAGTGGAGAAATAATTAGCATAATATTATTCCATATTTCTCTCTCAAACTGGGTTTTGCATTTAGGATTCTAGGACTCTTCATCCGAGGCATTGAAGAAAACAGCAGGTCCAAGAGGGAGGGGCTGTTTCATGAAAATGAATGCATTGTGAAAATCAACAACGTGGATCTCGTAGACAAAACCTTTACTCAGTAAGCAGGTTTTCATTGTTTTACTCACTTTATTGATTCCCTGGATGTTTATAATCATTACTGATCTCATTACAATCGAAATTGTAGGTAGAATTTCCGGGCAGTCCCCTACGAATGACCTCCAGAACATCCATTTTCAAATGAATGTTGTGTTTTCGCTTACTGAAAGGTGGCCTCCACATGTCCTGGCAGCGCCGAGCGAGCTAAGACAGAATAGAGCATCCTTTCTGCCTGGCTGTCGTGGGGGCACGTCTCTGGATAGGTTTGTTTTTCCTGGGATATGGGTCGGTTAGGCTGATAGTTAATGACTCGTTTCACCGACTGTTAGTTCAGCTTATTAATTAACTTACTTGGTGTCAGTAATCTTAAACTAAAAAATCTGTGAGAATCGTCGGTGTGGAGTCTCTGAGTAACAGAAAGCAATACCGAAAATAAAAGAATACAAACAGTATCTCTCAAAAAATGTATTCTCTGACTGCACGTGAAAATGACGTGCGAGTAGATTCTAATGCCTACAAACCAGGGTAGAGCATTTTTGTTGTACGCACACATGTGTAGATAGACAGACAGACAGTACAGGGACTCTGAAGCAAAGGGATCAGTACTACTATTCCTTACTCTCACAGCCTCTGTAGTTTGTAACCTAAAGAGCTCATGGAATATCTTCTTTGTAATCACTAGTTAAAAAATGAGAAACTAAGAGAATTGATTTTACCAAGGTCTCAAGTAAAAAGAAAATGTTTTGAAAATGCTGATGGCAACACAAGTACAAGTGCACTCGATACAACTGATGTATGGATTGTTATATGTAAGAGCCACAATAAAATGATTTTAAAAATAAATAAACTAAAAGGAATCAATATCTGCAAATGATAAGAGACAAATCATAATTGTTATTAATAATTATTTCTAGATATACATTGCACCTTTTTCACAAGGACTTAATAAGTATATGGGGAATACAATCATCCCTATTTTATAGAGGTAGAAACTGAGGTGCATAAAATCCAGTGACTTCCCCAAGGATACATGGTAATTAGGGAATAGCAGGCAATACCCGGAGAGGGAACTGAGCAGAGAAGACAGACTGCCTATGTGGATCCTGCCCCTTCCCCCTTGTCATGAGGGGGTTTACGTGCTCACGTCGAGGGTAGTCAGATACCAGCTGGAATTATACTGTTCTTTGAAAGGACTGCTCACCGCAGAGATCTGAAATAACATCAGCTTAAGCAAGATCATATACTGTATTTTCTCTCAGGTCAAGTGCGTGTGGCGAGGGGCAGCCCGGGTTGGTATGGAGTGCCACAGGCATCCGGCCAGATACCGTCTATCTTCTCGCCTTGCCCGCCTCACCGTGGGGCTGTTCTCCTGATCACAATCACAAGATGGTTCATAACCACAAGATGGTGGCTGGCGTTGCCTCCATTACTCGGAGTTCTAAGAAATCAAAAGGAGAAAGCGGGGTCTGCAAATGCCTGTCCTCCAGCGGAGCCAGCTCCTTTACTGCACAGAGCTTTCCTCCGGGCTCTTGAACCCCTTCCCTTATATCTCAATGTTGGAAAAGTTCGATTTTTGTTTTACCTGGTCAAAGGGCATATGAAGAAGAAAAAATGCATGTGTGTGCATCATTATATTTTATGTTACTACATAGGCATACATTATACATGAATACATTTATATAGGGGGCCCTGGTGTTGTTGCATCGGGCTGCAATCGGCATGGTCGGCAGTTCTAAACCACCAGCAGCTCTGCAGGAGAAAGTCTGAGCTTTCCACTCCCGTGAACAGTGACTGTCAGAGACGCACCGGGGAAGTTATGAGACAGCACAGACTCGATGGCAGGGAGAGATTTACGTAGTATATACACACATACACACGTACACACACATATGTTTACTGTAAGTATGTACACACATTGTGAGTGTGTATATAAATGTATTCTAGATACATCTATTGATATGTAGTATTAAGAAGCTAGAACAAAACAAACCCACTGTCATCCCGCTGATTCCGACTCACCCGATGGGACAGAGTGGAATTGCCTCCTTGTGTTACTGGGGCTATGAATCTTTATGGGAGCGGAATAGTGTATCTTTCTCCTGAGAAGCAACTGGTAGAATCAAATGAACCTTGCTGTTAGCTGCCCGGTGCATAACCCGCTGTGCCACGAGGGCCCCTCAGGTATATGCCTATGTATTTATAATATATATTCTATAATATATGGTATGCCATACACAGGTGTGCCTGAGGTGGTTTCAAAAAAGTTGAGGAAAAATTGAATTAAAATATGAAGGAATCTTTCCTTAAACTCTCTGAATGCCCCTCATATATACACAAAAAGTACTAGGACAGGGAAATAAAAATATGCAACAAATTAGTTCTCTTAAGAAAAAAACAACAACAACAAGGTACTCTCTGATAGAATGACAGTCGGTGACCTTATTGAATTGGTCATCCAGTGTGACATTGACACAGAGCCAACCAAACGCTCAATGTCATCAAGTCGATTGTGATTCACAGTGACCACAGGGCAGAGAGAACTGTCCCTTTGGGGTTCCCAGCCTATAAGCCTTTGTATGGGGTTTACCAGAGTGGAAAGCATTATCTTTCTCCCCCAGAGCAGCTGGGGGGGGCGGGTGTCTCAACTGCTGACCTTGTGGTTAGCAGACTAGTGTCCCCCTGACTGTGCTACCAGGGCTCTGATTTGCATAGCGGAAGCCCCTACTAACATCCATCCACGAACAAGCTGCCGTGTCAACTTGAACTCCTACAGCACAAGCCAGGTTTGAGAAGACCAGCACTTTAAAACAAAGTCCTAAACCCTCAATTGATAATCCATTCAATAATATGAAGTGATTTTTTTCCATGAAAATGAAAACTTTCATGTTTCCTTCAATAAACATGCATGAGTAGATTTCCATGTCTTGAGATACTTAAAAGCTGTGGGTCATTGGGCAAGGTACTTAGTCTCTCGGAGTCTCAATTTCCTCATTAGCAAAATGAGGTCTAGGTTTGCCTGCCATACAGGGTTGTTAAATAAGTAAATAAATAAAATGAGAGAATTATTCATCTTAATAATGTGTCTAGCCCAGTACAGGGCACATCGTGGGCAGGTAATAAAACATGGTAGCTAGTATTTAGTTGGTAAAGTCATATTGCCAATAATGTTGATAATGTCTCCTATATCATTGCCCCTTCCCTCTGCCAGAATGCTAGTATACTTTGGGAAGTGACTTGCCAGAACCATTTTCAATAGACATTTTCTTTCTTTTAAGGGCTCAAGATGTTTTCCGTCAAGCAATGAAATCCCCAAGTGTACTTCTCCATGTACTTTCCCCCCCAGACCGCGAAGACTATGAAAAATCTGTCATTGGGGCCCTTAACATTTTTGGTAACAGTGATGGCATTTTGAGAACAAAGCCCTCTGTCCCCGGAAAATCAGAAATGAAGGCAGTCAGTCTGATAGGAACAAATAGCCCAGAGGTAGAAGCATCAACTTTCCTGCAACAAGCCAGGAGCCCCCGGATACCAAGACAAGGAAGACACCCATCCTCGCCCTCTCTCTCCCCTCTCATGGGGTTTGGCAGCAAGAAAAATGCAAAGAGAATTAAGATTGACCTAAAGAAAGGTAATTATTAAATTATGCTTAATAGTATTCTATTATTGTAGCATGTAAAATTGGTTAAGAGAAATGCATTAAGGCTAATTTAGTTAATTCTCCCTGTATTTAATTGTATCAAAGAATAGATTTAAGTGTATACTTAGATAACGGAAATTTCTTGAGCTTGTACTACTTCCTTATTCTTTTCTTCTAACGAGTATAGATGATTTGAAACAAGAAAATAATAAAGACATGGAAGTGGAAAGAGATGAGCGAGAAAAGAATCTTTCCAAACCAAATAGAAATTCACTAATATTATGTTACAACCTAATACTAAATAGATACTGAACTTCAGTTGTTTTGAGCGTGATTAATGGTTTCTAAAGCATCTTTTAACCCAAGACCAAAAGCATACTGCTTCTGGTTCAAGAAAATCATTTTAGGTCAGTAAACTTTATTCCTCAAGAAATAACTATGTGATTATTAATTTTGCCACTTCATAATTGCAAACCATTTTAAGATATTTATTTTCAAAGAACATGTGCCGTTTTCTTTCTTGTTCTTAATATCACATCTGTTTCAAACAAATCAGTGAAATTAGATCATGTGTGCAAATATATACTTATGGAATACTATATATACACAAATATATACACAAGTAGTCATTTATACGCTCCCATGTTTTGTTCATTTTGTGAACTGTACCTTATATTCCCTTCCTGTATCCTTCTAAATTGTCTTTTTCCAAATATCATTTTAAAAGAAGTAAAATGATCTCATACATCTCTGTCTGAATTAATAGAAAAATAAATCATTGAAGGTAGTCCTATTATCTATTAAACATATATTCCATACATGTATATTGTGTACCTTTAATTCATATATTGATATTATCTCCCTAGAACCTGCACATTAACTTGAAACTGTCCTCTGACTTTTGATCTCATTCACCTATCAGGATTTTTACTGGGAAGGACATGTGTTGACTAGAAGGCTCTAAAACTCCAGAATTCTTAGAAATGTTGCTTCTTACTTAAATGGAACAGTTACATTTCTTAGAAACATCATCTGACAATGTAGACAAAAGTGGATTTAAGTGCTTTGAAGATTAATAAAAAGGTGGCTTTGACCCAGAATTGTGACATTAAAAATCAAGGTTGCTTGTCAAATGGAGATGTCCTTCCTGGAAGTTACAGTTCTAAGTAGGTGAGGTTTATCAGAAGGTTAGGATTGAGGACGGGGAAGGAGGGAAGTGATGGCATTTGGAATGCTGCTGAGACTGGCTGGGCGACACTCTCTATAAGCAGACAGCAGGGCCACAGGAGGGGATCCCGTTCTCTTCCGCAGGGAGACAGCTGGTCAAGGGAGAGTATCGAAAGGGAAGGCTGGACCAGGACAGATCTTTACATCTTTGTTAATGTGAGGGAGAATGGATAGAGTTGGAATGACAACCTTGACATGGATAGAGAGGTGGAGGTACTCTGTAAATAACATGGAAGCAAAGGGGTAGGGCTAACTTTTTGGAAAATGATTAGTAGAAAGTATCAAAGCTTCAGAAGGGGAAAGATCAAGGACAGAAAAAAACTAATGCATGTGGTTCTGAGAAGGCCCTTGGGTCTAGGAGCCCTGGTGGTGTCATGGTTACATGTTTGGCTGCAATCTTCAAGGTCAGCAGTTCAAAACCACCAGCAGCAATGTAAGAAATATGGGGCTTTCCACTCCCTTAATGAGTTATAGTCTCAGAAACTCACAGAGGCAGTTCAGCCCTGTCCTGTAGGGTCCCGAGAACATGGATTTGATGGTCGTGAGAAGGGTGAATGAGAACCTTGGGTGATAGAAACTTGAATAAGCAGTAAGATTAAAAGCGTGATTTTTTTAGGATGAAAGTATCTAAACAGACAAAAAGCCCCAAACCTCCTGCCATAGCATTCCCTCTGACTCATAGGAACTCTGCAGGACAGAGTAGAGCTGCTCCAGAAGGTTTCCAAGGCCAACAGTGTCACCTTTCCGCTGAGGTGGCTTTCAGTCACTGTGTGAGTCTGGGGACTTTAGAGAAACAGATCCACAGCAACTCACGTATAAGAGAGAGTTTTATATAAAGGTTAAGTGTTCACCAATAAAACATCCCAACCCAGTGTTGCCCAAACCCACAAGTCCAACGTTAACCCATTAACCCATATGTCCGACACCAGTCCACAAAGTCCTCCTCCATCTCACCAAACAGACGTAATGATGCTGACTACAGGAGGAAAGCCGAGTCAGTGAATGTGTAAACATCTCACCGCTGGCAGGGCTCTCCACACGGGTCTCCACACAGCTGCTCCAGCACCCAGCGCTGCATCGGGGTAGATCCACGTGGCTTCTCCTCAGGGATGTCTTGCAGGAAGTGAGCCTTGCCAGCTAAATCAGGGAACTGGCTAAGGCAGCTGCACCCTAGATCGACCATGATCTCACAAACAAGAGACCCAAGAACTAGAAAGGTGAGGCTCACTGAATCATTTAGCCCTCTGCCCTTCAATTAACCCCACATGTGTTTATCAGCCATGTTGGTACAATAAAATAACTGCCTCAGTCACTGACCTGGAGGTTAGTGGCCCATTGTGTAATCCACTATACCACCAGAGCTCCTGAGCAAAGTTATTTATTGTTTCCAACAGTTTTATTGGCATATAATTCATATACTATACAATGCAATCATTCAATTGCATCAAGAAGACTTGTAAAATCATCATTACAATCAGTTTTAGAACATTGTTTTTTTCAATCTTATACTCAGCATTATTACCTCTCCATTTCCTTCCAACCTCCCCTTCCGTTCTCCCAAGGAACCATTAATCCAGTTACTGTCTCTAGATTTACCTATCCTGGATTTCATATACAGAAAAAAACATTAAAAAACAAAATAACAACAACAACAACAACAAGCTAACAAGAACAACAAAGTAAAATGAAAAGAAAGAACATATTAACAACTCGAAAAAAATTAAATGGATCATGGGGAAGGTCAAAACAATAAATTGCTAAACTTTAACCTAAGTGCATCTGCAACCATCTACTTCCCAATGCAGTCTGCATGTTAGCACGGTTCTTCAATCCCTGGTGCACGGTCAGAGGGGCTTCACCAGGGCTTGATCCAGGTGCATTTCCTCTCACTTCTTTTTTTTTTTTTAACTAACACAGCTTTAAAATGGATCTAAAGGGAGAGCAAATAATAAGATATTACATGTTGACCTAACTACATCTGCCAGAAGCAGCTTTACAATGCTGAGTAGATGTGCTCCTAGTTGGAAAAGATACGCCGGAAGGGGGAGGTGAGTAGGACAGGAGCAGCAAGAGTGTGTGATGGGAGAGCAGGATGCAGCAGTCAGAGCAAAGGAGCACAAGGGAAAGTGAGCCGCAGACTGACGTAGTGATGAGAGCCCGACAGGATGTACTATGTCACGTGGCTTTTTGTTTCTCCTTAGAGCATATACTCTGGTGTGGTTTCCTGAGAAAGCAGAACACGATAATATCACAATGTGTCATTTCTTTTAGGATGTTAATAAACATGTGTTACACATCTGTGTTTTGCCTTAAATTCACGCTGATACCTGTAGGGTCTGGCAGTATCGCTGGATTGGAATAACTGAGCATATTAATAATCTTCTGGAATAGAAATATTTCGCTTTCCCTGCATTTATCTGAAATCGGGAGATTTATTTGACGATACATTACTACTCAAGCTTACGACGGCCGCTATTTCCCTGGTCTTGCATCCTAGGTCCCGAAGGGCTTGGGTTCACTGTGGTTACCAGAGACTCCTCCATCCACGGTCCTGGACCTATTTTTGTGAAAAACATTTTACCAAAGGGAGCAGCTATAAAAGATGGCCGCCTGCAATCAGGGGACAGAATTCTAGAGGTATGAGCTGGAATGAATGCCTTCAATAAAGTACTGGTTGACAAATAAATACGTATATAAATATATAACTTCACTACCATGAAACTGATTTCCATTCAAAGTCACCCTGTTTGGGCTTTTGAGGCTGTGAGTCTTTACGGGAGTGGACAGCTTCATCTTTCTCCCATGGACTAGCTGGTCAGCTGGTGAGTCTGAATCCCAGATTGTGGTGAACAGTCTAATGCTATCCCACAATGTCACCAGGGCTCCTTATTCAAATGTAAATGTCATGAATATTTATATGTTGGGTACTGTAGCTCTACTTTCCTACTTACCTATCACCCATCCATCCACATGGAGCCCTGGGATTCATGTATAAACACATATGTATATTAATATTTTGAGTTCTCCCTCCCTCCTTCCTTTACTCCTCACTTCTCTCCTCCCTTCATCTACCTGCCCAGCTCCCTGTCTATCCAGAGCCCTAGTGGCACTGTGGTTAACTGCTTGGCAGATAACTAAAAAGTTGGTAGTTCAAACCCAATAGCTGCTTTACAGGAGAAAGTTGTTAACAGTCAGCTTCCACAAAGTGCACAGCCTAGCAAACCATCTGGGCCAGTTTGACTGCCTTCTGGGCTGCAAGGAGGCAGAATTGATGCAGTGACCATGAGATTGTTTTGCGGGTTTGAACCCGACAAGAATTTTGTTTGGGAAATTTTCACCTATTCACCATGCCTGGGAAAGTTTGCCCTATCCACCCCAAAGCCCAGATCTTCACCTTTCAGGTTTATTTTTATTGCCAGAAACCAAAGGACATTTCAAAGAAATATGATTAAAGTTCCTCAAAGATGCCAAAACTGCTGTTTCACCTGATAGAAATCAGAGTGCAGAATTTGACTGGAAATACTGCCTTCAGAAGTATAGAGTCCTATCAGGAAACAGTGAGAGGGGACCTCAAAAAGTTCATGGAGAAATTCCATTATCTTTCATTTCCCTTTCTTTCACAAACATCTTGAAACCCTCTTTGTAGCTTCACAGTTGATATTTGGGTACAATGATAGTTTGTGATTTTATAACAATACATGTTTATTTGCCTTTACGCATGTTTGTATAAATAATCATTACTTTTAATAAGGACTGATATACACTTCACTAATAATGACATGGGAGGATAAGGACTTTAATTAATTAAAGAGCTAGTTAACAGTTACCTTTGTAAGTCCCCAGTAGGATCCGTGATCTAGGACTGAAAAAATACAGAACTTTTTTTCTGAGCACATTTTCTCTGTCACATCTTGGGTCCCTGGGGTATTTGGATCAAATCCAGGATTTCATCATATACCCAATTAGAGATAAGAATTTCAAAGTTACATCCAGCCTCTGGCAAGAGTTTCTTTAACCTTCTGTACAGATGAGCCGGTCTTTTTCCGGTTGATTTCACCTGTGTTGCTCACAGTGGAAACAGCTGTAAGCGACATGGCGTAGGGAAGTACTGTGACTCTCAAAGCAAGAGAGAGTTTCTGGTTTTGCTTTTTTCCATTTATTTTTGCTTGATGGCATCATTGTGGCTACACGTGTGTTGTCAACTTCTGTCCCAAGTAGCCATTGTCATCGGAAGCTGACTGGTTCCATTTCCCTCTTCACTTGTGCTGGCCTAGAAGCACCAGCGCAGGTGTGCATGCAGTGCTGGGTCATCAAAGAAGGCGCACCAAGTGACAGATGTATCTGTAGATTACAATTTCCAAATATCTGTGAGAACCCAATGGTGGTCATTTTCTAATCACGGAGAAGACGCTAGACTAATATCCAATGAATGACACATTTCCAGGAGAATTTGCTGTCTAATAATGGTCCCCTTCTGCTCATTGACTTAGGCAGAAAGACGTGCTGCTCTGTCTTTGAAATCTGCTTCCTACCCAATGACTGAAGGGATAATTCTGTCCCTCCAATGTTTTCCGTTTACTAGCTCCTTCTAAGAATGAGATGTCTGAGCAAAAATGGATGTTACCAAATACTGAGTGTTTGCGACCACGTCACCATTAGCATTATTGTCAATTTATTGGTACTTTAAAGGTGGTTGGTTTCTGCCCAGGTGTTTCGTTTTCATCTTTCAGGTCTTCATTGGTTGCAGGGACAGATTAGCTGCTTACATGTGGGCACCAGCTAGGGTAGAAGACGACAGTGCAGTGATTGTGTCCCTTCACCTGGTTGCGTTCCTTAGGTCAATGGCAGAGATGTCACTGGAAGAACTCAGGAGGAGCTCGTGGCCATGCTGAGGAGCACCAAGCAAGGCGAGACGGCAGCACTGGTCATTGCCCGCCACGAAGGACACCATCTTCCTCGAGAGCTGGTAATGCTTGAGTCTGAGAGCCCAGGGGGCTCAGACCTGCGTTCTCTTTATTTGCAGCCCAGCTCTACAAACGCTGAGTCTAGCTTGTGAAAATGTTTTGTCTCATTTAGAGTATCACCATTCGAAAATGCTTGTACAGTGAGCTGGGGGCATAGAAATGATGTGTCTGGAACATTAATTTGAACATTTTCAAGGAAGCAACTAATGAAAGGCGAATAATTCAATAAAATATGCATTGAGTATACATACATATATAAATATTGACTAGATATATGTGTGTGTATATATACATACACACACATACATACATACACAGAGAGAGAGAGACTATACCATGTATGAGGCCCTATGGAAAACAATCATCAAACCAGTTTGTGCTCCAACTTTTGCAGTGTTTATGGGTTAAATGAGAATAAAATGATAACCAAGTACTTAGAAGGGTGACAAAGATTTTTGAAAAGAGAGCTGTTATATAATACTTCAGCATGTTAAAAAGAGATATAGCTCATTTAGGGGGTTGAAAGGCCATCATTTTGTTGTTGCTCAGCTTTTTATTTTGAATTAAGTGAAGAGTTACAGAGCGGGTCATCAGTTTTACGTTTAGCAATTCATACATACTTTCTTCCAACTCGTCCATTGCAGTCCCTCAATGCCATCTCGTTTGTCCCACTGCCTCCTGTGTTTGCTGCTCATGCCTCTGGCTTTCCCAACTCTGAACTTTTATCCTTTGGTAAATGCTGTTTTGTTTTGTTTTTATTTTAAATGGTTGATTATTCTAACATGGAATGAGTTCAGTTCCAGAGGGATGAATCAGCAAGGGGTATAGTCTTCAGTCTCTATCCAACCAGTAAGTCTAGTCTCCGGTTATTTTGAGGTGATATATATATAATTTTATTGGGGACTCTTTCAACTCTTGTTATAATCCATACATCAATAATATTCGTACATATATTCTATCATTTTTTCTAGACATTTATTTTCTACTGAGCCCTTGGGATCAGCTCCTCTTCCCTGCCCCCCTCCTTCTCACCCCACCCCTTGTGGCCCCTTGATAGACTGTAGATTGTTAATTATGTTCAAATCTTGCACCAACTGCTGTCTCCTTTCCCCTCTGGTTTCTGTTCTTCCCCCTGGCTGGGGGGGTGTGGTTATGTGCCATTCACTTTGATCAGTGACCCCTCCCTCTCCACCTCTCCCCCTTCCCCTCCCCTTGTGTTCTCTCTATTCCCATGCCTGTTCCTGGGCTCCACGGGTTGTGAGTTTTATCTCTTGCCTGTACCTGTG